TAAATTGGGAACCGGCGAAGAAGCAATTCAATATAAAAATTGCATCCGTAAAAACAATTGGTAGTTATAGATTTTTATTATTCTGGGAAAAAAAACCAAAAAAATTAAATTTATTTGTTACCAGTTTTTACTGTTGTCCGTCTCGATATACATGGTCTTTCAGCCCTGTACTGTAGTCGGTAAGCTGCACATTTTTGCAAAGACTGTTGCTTAAAGTATTTCAATCAAAATAGCTGAGAATAATTTCAAGAAAATATCAAAATTTTAGATGATTGACATTTCTGTGTAAGAAAAAATGACGAAAACTAATAGTTTTGGTAAGTAGCTTATATTTTATTTTGATAGCTTTACTTCATTTCTGAATAACTGCTAGTTTTTACCTAGAAAAATGTCGAGCAAAGGTCGGAACAATCAAAACAGTCAAGTTCTTTGAAGAAATAATATTAATCATGAGAATGATAATTCTTATATGTTCTTATAATTATAATAATTATAGAAATAATAATAATTAGAAGAAATATGTTTGCTGAAAATGTACAATGGAACCGCTCTATATATGTAAAAAATGCGTTGAGCAATGAATTAAAACTTCTTATTCTTTGTGTTTGTAATACATAAAAATTGCCAACATACAATTTTGTTTAATTAAAATAAAGTTTTTTAATTTATTTACTTCCTAAGATCCATATTTCATACATTCCATCAAGAAACATGAAGTCCGGTCATTTGACCGGCTATGGTTGAAATAGGTATACATAAAGTAATGGTATGTTTAGTGTTTAGCATATTTCGGAATATTCCGGTTTGTCCTAAAAATGTAATCAAAAAATTTTCTTCAAATCCCCGTCGCATGTCTTTGTTTACAAATTGATTATAATTATTATGTAATATTAATTGAAAAATAATTAATATGTAATATTTTTTAATTACTAGTTTAACTTTTGCAAACAACAGAATAAACAATATTTGTTTCAATGTTTTCCCCCTACTTTGCATGTCTGAAACCGTCCTTGCTTCTTACCATATCCCCCCCCCCCGAAAAAAAATCCTGGCTACGGCCTTGCTGAAAGTAATTATCTTACCAGAACGAAAGAATTGCTTGATATTTCAGAGAAAAGTGTAAGATTGTATGAAGTTCAACAACGACTTTCAGAAAAGTGAATCACGAAACACAATTCATCCATCAAACTGTCCACCCTTGACCACCTAGACCGATAATCACCCCTTTTAACCACAAATTGAAGCAGAAGGGGGAAAGCATACCTTTTGTCCGACCCTCGACACTTTTGGTAGCATCTTTCTAAAATGTGTCTGCTGCTTGAAGTAAGAAACTAAGAGAGAGGGGAAACGCCAGGAGGGTTAATAGCGATTTCCACCTCTTTTATGTGAAATGCCATCAAGTTGTAGTTGCCATCAATCGTGATGTTATAAATCATTCCTTTTCTCAAAAGTTTGTAAATTTATCTATTTCAGATATTGGATGGGAACCAAACATTGTGCGGTAAATCTGACGAGTCGGGAAACAATGCATTGGAAGGAAAAGCTATATGGACACTGGATGACAGGGATCTATGTCCTACATTTATAGGATTGTATTTTTCTATTGGATTTGGTTTGATTGGTAAGTTCTTATTGGTAACTACTAAACGAACCCCGCAGGGACATAATTAGGGATAAGATCTGTATGATCCCTTTATACACTATCTACCAATAAGTATTTGGACACCTATGCAATTGACTATATCAGTTGTCCTGAGATACGTCACGCCCGCCGCCGGTAAATATCATGTAGGGAACAACACAGGCATTAGTCCCTTGCAAGATGCCTATTGCACTATTTTGGATGACAATGTGCTTCCTACATTGCGGTAGTTTTTTGTGGTGGACCCCTGCTACTTCTAGGACGACAATGACAGCTGTCATGTTGCAAGGGTCACCAAGGCTTGGTATGGTGCCAATGGGGTTAATCAAATGGACTGGCCTGCTCAGAGACCAGACCTGAACTCTATCTAGAACCTCTGGGACGAGTTGGATCGCCGAATTAAGGGGTGTACTACCCGTCCAAAATCAGTGAAGGAACTTACATGTCTTCTCCAAGTCGAGTGGAAGAAAATACCGCTAGCCGTCACACAAGGACATGTAGAAAGTATGCCCCGGATGGTTCGAGCTGTAACTGCTTCTCGTGGAGGCTCTACCAGCTATTGATTATGAATAAAGTTTTTCTTTTCAATCACGCGTGTCCAAATACTTATTGGTAGATAGTGTATTTCGCTCAGTGTAGAAACTCCTTGATATTACTAATGAGGGGAAAAAAGTTTTAGGCAAGCATCGAATCCTAGTGAAATTTTTTATCCTAATAAGAAAGTTTAAATTCTGGGAAGTTCATGTTTTAAAACTATTGGATTTCGGCCTACTTCCCTAAATTGTTAATATGGAATATACATATCATCAAACTTAAAATATTTTCATGTGTAAAATGCTCATAAAACAATAATGTTGCATATTTGTTAATATTTGTATAGTTTCGTAAATACTCTTTGTTTATGTGGCTAAATAACTCAGACGGACCTTATATAAGCAGTTTAATTATAAAATTTCCTAGAAAACTGTGTAATTCTATTGTAAATAAGATGGAAATCGTGCCTAATGCATTTCCTATGGAATGCTCAATTTGGAGCCATTTTTGCCGACTTGATGACTTGGCGATACTTGATGGGCATTTTGGTGACAAAATGATAAAGGACGATAGTTATATATAAATTGTAATAAATAAATTTTCAAACGTTAGCGTAATTCTAACGTAATTTAGAGAGAAAATAACGCCTTATGTATTTCAATAGCAATGCTTAGCTGTGGGTCATTTTTGTCAACTTTGCTATACTTGGCGGCCATTTTTACGAGAAAATGATATTTATGGAAACTTCGAGTTTCAAAAAAATAGGACCAATATTTGCGGAGTTATACGAGAACCGTCTGGAATCACGTCTTAATTTATTATAAATAGGAGTGTGCTTCGGTGCTAAGCCTATATAAATAGGAGTGTGCTTTGGTGCTACCCCATAAAATAAAAATAAAAATTATTTTTAAAGTTTTTTTAAAGGAAAAATATTAGATTGAAAATATACTATCAAGTGAAAAACGCACCTGTGAAGTTCCTATGAAAACGAAATTGAGCTTAAATTAAAGAGCCTTGTTGAAAGCCTTGTATAGGGTAAAAATTAACTGCCACTTCTGCCCCTGCGGTAAAATATGTCCCATTAAAGTTTCAGTTCTTTTACTTTTGAACTAATAAAAACTTTCCAGCTCTTGTAGAATTGTAGCTGAATAGTAAGGTTTTCCGCTTTCTAAAAGAGTGGCCGGGGAGGTGGTTCAAATCACAGTTATAAAAAGTTAGATTTTAATTTAAACATTTAACAGATTAATTTTAACAGTTATACTTGAACTTTATCTCTCGATTTCTGTTATAAAAAGGTGGGTAGCTAGAATGTTTTATTAAATTCATAGATGATTATTATTTAGTTTGATTTTTGGAAAAAATTAAATTTTTTTGAAAAAAAAAGATATCGAACTTTTTTTATTTTTCAGTGAAAATGTTTGGATTATGTGTGATTTCCAAATGTTTTTCTTTCAACAGCTTTTTCCTTGGTCATCACCGTTTTGAAGATTGTCCACACAAGGTATGAAAAGGATATTAAGGTGTGGCTATACTCACATGGTATCAAGTGGGTTAAAGAAAAAGATATCGACAAGGATAAAAAGTATGATGCTTTTATATCATACAGCGATAAGGATTTCGATGCAGTACAGAACCTCATTCGCAGTAAGAACTTTTCATAATTACTTTAGTTCCCGGTATGTCGAACTTTTATAAACTTAATTATTCGTTTTCATCAAAATCGTCTTGCAAAATTGTTCTTAAAAATTAATGCTTTTTTAACATCGATGAAATATAATGATTAACATTTACTCAATTATTCTTTTTAATCAAAATCGTCTTGCAAAATTGTTGTTAAAAATTCATGCTTTTTTTAACATCGATGAAATATGATGATTAACATTTACTCAATTATTCTTTTCAATCAAAATCGTCTTGCAAAATCGTTCTTAAAAATTAATGCTTTTTTAACAACAATGAAATATGATGATTAACATTTACACAATTATTCGTTTTCATCAAAATCGTCTTGCAAAATTGTTCTTAAAAATTAATGCTTTTTTAACATCGATGAAATATAATGATTAACATTTACTCAATTATTCTTTTTCATCAAAATCGTCTTGCAAAATTGTTGTTAAAAATTCATGCTTTTTTTAAAATTGTTGTTAAAAATTCATGCTTTTTTTAACATCGATGAAATATGATGATTAACATTTACTCAATTATTCTTTTCAATCAAAATCGCGCTGCAAAATTGCTCTTAAAAATTAATGCTTTTTTAACATCGATGAAACATGATGATTAACATTTACTCAATTATTCTTTCTTATCAAAATCGTCTTGCAAAATTGTTCTTAAAAATAATGCTTTTTTAACATCAATGAAATAGTATGATTAACATTTTAAACATCATGTTTTGAGATAGAAACTTAGGAACGCTATTATAGATTTTAGAGTAAAGCATGAGAATTTTTTTAAATTTTACTATTTGGCTATCAAGGAATGCAAAGCCATGTGTCCCTTTTCTACAAAACATTAAGCTGCTTTATAAAAAGCAATTAAAGAGTTTCAAAAAGGATAAAAGCCTGTGATTATTTAAGAGCCAAAATATATCAAAAAGAAGCAAAATTTTCTTTGTAAAACTAACAGAGAGTAATTGACAATGTATTCTTGTTTTCATGATTGTATGTATTCTTTCTTCTTCCTTTTCGATTTAATTTTGAATATTTAAAGTATCTATAGTACACAAAAATAATATCAATTAACCATATATTTAGTGGAATAAATAGGATTTATGTGGAGTCTGTAGGGCATATATCAATAATGTTAAAATTGACTTTTTTTGATGTACCTTTTCTAAGAAACTATGCATGATAGCTCTTTGAAATTTTTTTTTTTGGGGGGGGATAATGGAGATTATATTAGTTATAAGCTGTGAGTGTTTTTGATTGAGAATTACGAAACTTTTTAAAAAATTAAAAGTTCTCAGTTCATATTGTTCAAAACGTTTTTTGCCAAAGATATATATTAAAAGTTATCACAGTGTGAACATGTACAAGTAAATAATCTGAGAAAAAAAACTGAAGCAATATCTTGTTTAGATAATAAGAAAAGCTAAATCTAAAAAGGTCATCTTAGCATTATTGGTAATACGTCTTACTGATTCACCTTAAAAACTATGATAGCCCTACTTTTTACTTTTATCAAGCGATTTATGCTATTACATGATAAATAAATTATTTTTTTTTATTAAAATGTTATTTATCTTGCTAAGAAGAAAATCAATCTGTTTCCGATTCTCAATCTAATTTCTGATTGCATTGTACCCTTTTATTAGGTTTTACTATTTTACATTTAATATTTGAATATACACTGAAGAGCCATTACATTATGACCACCCTCCATCCATAACAATGGGCTCGCCCAGGTTTTCATGGTTTCTCGCCCAGGAACAATGTTTTCATGAGGCACATTAAGACCCATAATCCTCATAGAACAATCCTTGACGTCTGTAAGCTACTTGAACATAGTTGCAGACCAGGTTCACCCATTCATGGCTACAGTTTTTCCTGCGGGGGATGGTGTTTACCAACAGGATAATGCACCATGTCAGAAGGGTCGAATCGTCATGGATTGGTTCGAGGAACATTCCAGTGACTTTCAAGTCATGTCTTGGCCCCCAAATTCACCTGACCTTAATCCAATAGAGCATTTGTGATCCTACTTGGAAAACCAAATTCGTGCTGCCACGCTACCCCCTCGCAATGTGAAGGAAATGCAGGACCAGTTGGTGAGCGCTTGGTACCAGATACCTCAGACTACCTATCAGCACTTTGTGGAATCAATGTCACTGCGGGTGCTAGCAGTTTTGAGGGCAAAAGGTGGTCCTACATGTTATTAGCAGGATGGTCATAATGTAACGGCTCTTCGGTGTATATATATGAAATTTTTTAAGCTTCCTTTTTTCACATAATAAAATAAATTTTATGGCACTTTTACCTACGAAACTCATCTTCGAAATCAGATAAATTGTAACTTAAGCACATAAAGTTGTGGTCCCGTAATCAAAATTATTTAGGAGTTAGTTTTATTCAATATACAGAGGAGATGCATTAAATTAAATAAGAAATAAAAATAAAAATTTATAAAACTTGGCAATAATGTTTCTTTTTTTTAATTCTTATGTACTCTATATATAAATGTTGCTTATCAGTTAATTAAATTGCTATTAAAATGAAAGATTATTAATGATTTGCTAATGGGTATTTTACATTAATAATAAAATTAGCTCTTGCATACCTTGTGAAGAAAAAACCCATTCCAAATTTAAAATAGTTCAATAATTTTTAAGCATAATTAATTAAATAAATTAGGTTAAAATATTTTAACTTCAAAAATTTTAGTAGTAAATAGACAAATAACACTTCTTTTTACAGCAATAGAAGCCAAGCAACCAATGAGCAGACTTCATTTTCACTTTAGAGACTTCTTGGGCGGAGCTCCGATTGAACAAAACATAATACATGCTGTTCAAAATTCGAAAAGAACAATAGTTGTGCTCTCAAAGTAATGTTTCATTTTCCTATTACTATTTTTTTTAAATGTCAATCGTAAATTATAAGATATCCAAATTTAGAAAATTAAAGGCCAAGCGGGACAGTCGTTTAAAGCTGCAGCGCATAGGTCTTTTACATCCATTGTAGACAAAAGAATTATTAATGAATTTAGAGTTCAGTTGACAGAATACTATCGTTAACAGGGTTTTTTGAAGCACTTTTCACCAAGGAAAATAAAAAAAAGCTTCAGTTTAAGTGCCTTAGTTTTGAAGCAAAGCTAGAATTCAAAACTATATATGCCATATTACCGCGAAGAATTATCAGGGCCTTAGAGCGGACAATTAACTTAAATATTTTAAAAGTTATTAAACTTTTCTTGAAAACCACTCAATTAGGCGAAATTTTTACACCAAGATGAAAACTATCAAACGATACCTTATTCTATTTTTTTGCAATCTTTTATAAGCCCATGTAATACAGCATTGGAGTAAGTTTTTACATATTAAGGAATTAGAACACAAGCACTTTTTATTTTTTCAAAACTGTGGGTTTTCTCCATAGTGACGTTTTACGCCATTTTCAAAATAATCCCATGGGCACTGGCTAAAGATAGCCTGAACTTGACCAAACAGTCATAAGTAATTGTTACAAACGCAACAATAGTTCCAAAAACAGCATATTATTCGCAAAATAGTATCATTTCAAGAGGCAACAGAACCTACGAAAGACAACCTTAAAAAATGCTCCTTTTTTTATTATCTAATAATTGATTTAATGATTGGATCTTCACTTTCAGGGACTCAATCTTAATGGCTCGAGAGGTTACCTCAAATATGTTAATTAATTAGTACAAAAGATATTTTAAGTTACAGTAAACATATTATTTCTTTTTATTTTGATTTTCTTGTCGGAGATAAGAGTTTCGATATTATCTAACTCCTTTATTTTTCTACATTTTATAGTGTTAGTTATTGCCTCTTAAGCCACTGAAATCTTTCGTACATAAAAAACACCTTTTTTTAGTCAGAATTTTCTATGATTTAAGAAAAAAAAACAAAAAAGTTACAAACCATGCGATGGATTAGAATTTTTCATAGTAAATTCCGTTTTCTTAATTTTTTATAGTTTTAAGGTTATCAAGGATTTCTTAATAGTGTATATCTTTAGATACCATCACTTAAGTCAAAAATTCCATTAAAAAATATTTTATTTTATTTCATAACCGTCGTTGAACATCCGATCCAATTTTGAGTTTACGATTACCAATTTTCAACTCCGTTGCCTTGTTATTTTGAACCCAATCCAGAAGGCAAGGGAACTCTTGTATAGTATTGGACAAGTATACAAGAGACTCTAACCCATGATTCGTCTACCACCAAGGATATTTTACGTTAACACTGTTGTCAGTGCGCATCAAACAGCCTTCGCTGGGATTCGAATGTGGGTCATCTCATTGGGAGGCGAATGCTCCTTCCCCTGAACATGGGTGAAAGCCCTTATATAGCAAGACGGAAAAGAGAAAAACCTGGTACGTAAAACATTTCATTACGGCATTTTTTTCGAAAAAAATGAAATATCTGTAACTATCAAGATTTCTTTTACAATTCTGGCAAATATATAAAACTGCTTCTTTTCCAAGATAAAGTAGATATTGCTGAAAAATTTAAAAAAAGAATAAGTAAACTCCTCCCCAAAACTAGCTATAACTGAAATGGTTTTACTACCAGCCTTTCCTCTTTTCCGTCTCACTTTCACCCCTGCCCCTGAACCACCACGGCTTCTTATAAAAAATTTTACTTTACAACCGTCGTTGTACAGTCGACGTAATTGCTTGGGTTTACGACTATCAATGTTGAACTCCATAGCCTTGTAATATTGAACCCAATCCTGAGGACAAGAGAACTCTTGCATCAAGTATTGGGAGAAATTTTGCCTTCGTGAAGAACTTTTTGGTGGAACTTACCCGCATTTGTGTTACAGGGCGAGGAAAGCCACCAAAACCCTCACCTAACAGCAAGGGGACTCTAACCTATAATCCATTAACCATTGAGGATATTTTACTTCAGCATTGGGAATACGGAATTCGTATCGGTCAGCTATCGCTAGGATTCGTACCCGGTTCACTTCAATGGAAGGCGAACGCTTTATTCCCTAAGCCAGCACGACTCTTAAAAAAACATTGCACCATATGAGAGATTTTACTTTCGTTTTTATCAGAGTGTATGAGGCATTGATATCCGTCAACAAGGGTTCTACGCAAATCTGGTATGTGTGTGACTAATCCCCTCACTGTCTAGCGGCAGCTAGACATTATCAGTGAGTCCAGACACTCTCAAAAAATCCAGGGCAAGCAAAGGATCCGTCGCGAAAGTCTCCTTAGAAATGTGAAGACAAGCCAGAATGTGCTCCGGGGACGCATTCTCCACTCTGCACGTAGCACAAGCCGGTAAAACCCTGTTGCCATTGTAAAAGGAGCCCACTCCTCAGGTGGCCGCTGGCAAATCTCGACAACGCCGTCTGGTCTGCTCTATTGCAAGAAAGGCCAATGGAGCCCCCCTGGACATCACGACAATACCAATCATGAGATGGAGGAGACTTTAAGTCATTGTTTTTCCTGATAGCTCGTCAAAAGTCCGTGAGGCAACTGAATACAATGGCCCAATCGAGCCCTGCTTTGCCAAGTCGTCAACGACCTCATTTCCGTAAATCCCCACATGCGAGGGAATCCATTGGAGGTGCACTTCGTGAACCACAGCAATCTGTCTAAGTAATTTCAAAATAGAATTGGGTATTATAATTATAATCATTCTTCAGATAAGAATCTATTTTAAATAATTAAATGTTACTTGTGGGATTAATTTCTCATATAGAGCGTAAATATCATATTTATTTATTATTCAAGAAACATCAGCTTTAATTAATCATCTAATTGTTTTTCTTCTTCTGTTATTAGATTTAAAAGAAATTTTATATTTGCAGGAATTACCAAGAAAGTGAATGGTGCATATTTGAGTTTCAGCGCGCCCGTAGCCAAACTCTAAAGGATAAGGTAAACCGTATACTGATCATCAGAATGGGAGAATTACCAGATAATTTGGATGATAATATCAAAGCACATTTGAAGAGTACGACTTATCTCATTTGGGGAGAAAAATTCTTCTGGGAGAAACTTTTTTACGCGCTGCCAACATCTGGTCAGAAAAATGATAAGATTAGCAGCAGTGACTTCAATTCTAAATCATGCCTGGTGGGCATTTAAAGTATTTGATTAGTCTAAAAACTTAGAAGAAACTGAAAACTTAGAAACTTCATTAATAGTATTATAAAATCATGCTTAGCATAAAGTAGTTTGCTATGACATATTTTGAGAACTTTCTGTCAATTTAAATTTTTACGATGTACGATTTTTTAAGTTGTGTTGTCTCGTTGGATCTTTCTTTTGAAGATTGGGATTCATAATCAGCAAACTTAGGGATTTGTGCTGATTGTTTGTTAAATTGCTGATTGGTTTCGAAAAATAGATAAGGAACATAAAACACAAAATTTATTATTTGTCGAACTTCGTTTAAATGTCTATATTCAGTTTAATATGGCTCTTAAAATGCCTTAGTCCAAATTTTTAAAGTCATTCAAAAAAAATTTTTTTTAACAAGCATAATTTCTTTCTTTTTCATATTTGTTTAAATAAAACCTTTAGGTATTAATGTAATATCCGAAATCAGTGTGTTCGAGGCTTCAAACTCTTATTTTTTGCAAACTCGGATATTTATTAAATTCATAAAAAAAAATAAATAATAATAATAAATATAAAAAAAACATTTAGTAATATCATGTCATGTGCAAATTATGTGCAATCTAAATATCATGTGTATAATTTCTTGGATAAGTCTAAAATCAAAATTACACATAATCTATTAAAAATATTTGAATCCTACTGTTCTTTTAGATATAATGTTTCCCTGAATTTTGATTTTTTTTCATACATAAGTAACTTCGTAACTTCTTGATATATCATACTTTTGCTGGAAAAATTATCGGTACTATCAAAACTGTAAAGTTATAATTGATTGTCTTGTGAAAGTAAGATCATATATCTATCATTGTAATTATCATATACATCTTTTTTAATACCATATACATTTTTTGTAGTATCATATACATCTTTTGTAATATCATGTACATAATATCTTGTAAAAATATGTATTTCTATAAGGTTGGTTGTGTTCTTGTATTGTGTTCCTAGATTTAGTTTATTAAATATTTGCATAATTTAAAACTGAAAGCTGTCATTGTTTTAACAGAAATATACCATTTTTTTTTCATTTTTTCTAGTATGTATTTTTTTTTATTTATTTTTTTAGAAATAACCTTTACTACTGCAGAATTTCCGTAGTTTCAAAAATAATTTCCCTTGTGGTACCGAAGGTATTTTATAAATATTTTAATAAATTAAAATAAAAATAATTTTCTCCACATCTACATGTGAATGTACTATCAAAACTATAAAGCTATAATTGATTGTCTTGTGAAAGTCAGTTAAGATCATTTATCTATCATTGTAATTCTAATATACATCTTTTTTAATACCATATACATCTTTTGTAGTATCAAATACATCTTTTGTAATATCATGTATATAATGTCTTGTAAAAATATGTATTTTTATAAGGTTGGTTGTGTTCTTGTATTGTGTTACTAGATTTAGTTTATTAAACATTTGAATAATTTGAAACTGAAAGCTGTCATTATTTTAACAGAAATATACCATATTTTTCTAAATTTTTTCTAGTATGTATTTTTTTAATTAATTTTTTTAGAAATTTTACTTTTCTTCTATTATTTTATAGACTTCTTTATCCATAACCTATGTTACTACAGAATTTACGTAGTTTGAAAAAAAATTCCCCTTGTATTAGCGAAGGTATTTTATAAATATTTTAATAAATTAAAATAAAAATAATTTTCTCCTCATCTACATGTGAATGATTTAAACAGATATATAAAGGGCAAAATGAAGTAGAAAAATTTCTATCTCTTAAGTTTTGACAAAAGGTTTGTAAAAATTCTGTTTGCATTAGAAAATCCTGCTTTAATTTATTACTGTTGGGAAGAAATATTTTTCACAACGCATAACTAAAGGAAACAAAAGAGCTAGTTTGCACAAAAATAAATAAATAAATAAAAATTAATGATATTAAAAAAATTTATGTAGTTAAAAGTTTTTGATTTTGTTAGAATTTTAAGGATTTTTTTGTGTGTGAAATTGTGTGTTTTGTTATTTTTGAAAAATAAATAAATAAATAAAAATAATATTAATTTTCGGGTAAAATTCAAGATCAATTGGATTGTTTCTAAAAACTTGAAAAATCAGAAAGAAAACGCTATGATTGTCAACGAGTAGGGTTGCTAACTGAGAAAATAATATAACAATGTTTTTAAAATTATCAATGTTTACAGACAGCAACTACGCGGGGCAAGCTGAAGATAAAATAAATCAAACCTGTGCAAATATTTCTGATGAAATGATCTACAGCGAAAAATTTGGTTTAATAGTTTTCCCAGTCAGCAGTGCCATCTGTTGAAGAACATTGTGACTTATTTTGAAAATGGAATAAAGAAATGGGAAATGGATTGGGAAACCCAACATTTCCATCTCCTTTCGTTTTTCTTTATAACCGTTTCCTAGCATTGCTTATTGAGCTATGCAAAGATAGCCCCCGAAAATGAGGAAAATCAAAAATTCAAACTGCATTCGTTTGACCACAAAAGACCGTTTTTTATCGCTCTTATTTTGGGCATATTCCTAAAAATAAAATTCGGGGGCAATTTTCGAATTGTTACACCAAATAAATAAAATAAAAAAATTGTATTGTATTCCTTTAACCACAAATGAACACCTTTTAGTTTTGCTGACAAGTCTTATTTCAGCCTTTCTTTCAGCAACATCAATTTAATACATCTTAATTATAGCTGTCATCCAAACGTAGTAATGGTCAAAAACTTTTTCTTACAGCATAAAAATGTTAAAAATAAATTCCAAAATGACTATGTACTTTAAATGGAATAATTACAGTCCTCCGAAGCGTATAAATCTAAAATATATATATATATATATATATATATATGTGTGTATATATAT